ACACCCATCAATCGAGAGTGCATACAATAACCTTGATAATGGTTGACAGGATCCTCCCTCGACCCATGTGTATTGCATAAGACATATCGCCCAAAATATCGTGCGGGCAATAGGGATGGCAAAAATATCCATACCCGCGGATATCCGTGGATAAAATCTGCCACAGATATGAGGATGGTAGCTTAATTGATATCCATGGATAAAATAAATGGATATTTAAATACCCGTTTGTTAATGGATATGGATATGGGTTTAATGATATCCATACCCGCGGATATCCATATCCGTTTATAAATTATAAAAATTATTTAAATATCATTAGTTTATTATACTTTATCTTTGCATATTCTAAAAAAATTAGTCTTCTTATACTTTTTTTTTATTTTTTAATTCTTTTAAGAAAACTTTCACTTTTCATTCAAATTCTATTTGTCATTTCATATTTAAACTCTTCGATACTTCATACCTCACTTCATCAATTTCACAGTCCAACCAACTAATATCGTCATTCCTTTGTCGAACTAGTGTCTCCATTCCTACTCCTCTGTCGTCTGATCTTCCATCATTCCTCTGTCGAATCTTTTGTATGGATGTTATGTGATAATAAATTTTTGTGTCTTTAAAATAAGTTAAAAATAATTTTCTCAAAAAATAATTTTTATAAAAAAAGTATTATCCATGGATATCTGTAAATATCTGTGGATACCATAAAACTCGTGGATTACCCGCTTAACAGATATCCACATAGATATGGGGTGGATATGGATATCATATTTATCTAACGGGGCGGATACGAATATTATAATATCTGTCACCATGGATATCCATTTACATCCCTAGCAGCAATCAAAGACAAAATACTAAGGAAGAAGGTTGTGAACGTAGGATATGCACTAATAGAGCCCACATTCAAACACTACCGTGACAAGATTAGACTGACAAACATGGATGCATTAAGATGGATTGATAATATTGATAAAGAGAAATGGACTCAGGCATACGACAATGGGGTGTGATGGGGCCACATGACAACTAACCTCGTTGAATCATTGAATTCTGTTTTCAAAGGAATCCGAAACCTACCGATAACTGCCTTGGTAAAGGAAACATATTCTAGGCTAGGCCCACTCTTTGATAACAGACGTACAAAATGAGATTCAATATTACAATCTGGTCAGCTGTACAGTAATAGGTCAACAACATTCGTGAAAGACGAAGCTGCTAAAGCCAACACACATGTGGTCACAATCTTTGACCGTAATAAAGGTTGATTCAATGTTGTCGAGTCAATTGATCACAATGAAGGAATGCCTAGGGGATGTTACTGGGTTGAACTGGATAGGAGTTGGTGTGAATGTGGGAAGTTTCAGGCATTTCGTATGCCTTGCTCTCATGTTATAGCAGCATGCTCGAAGGCGCGCCAGGACCCAACCAACTATCTTTCTACAGTTCACCAAGTGATAAGTTTATGCAATGTCTACACATGTAGCTTTCAGGTGGTGGCAAAGGAGGACTATTGACCTCAATACGAAGGCGAAATTGTCTGACATAATGATTTGATGCGAAGAAATAAAAAGGGTCGCCCTAACAGCACACGCATTCGAACAGAAATGGATACAACAAACAAGATGGTAAGGTATGTAGTTTGTGTCGGCAACCAGGACACAATCGTACAAAATGTCATAACGTAGGATCAAGCACAAGATCATAGTGTCTAATGTAACCGTGTCCCTTTAAATCAACAACAAATTCATTCCATTTAAAGCATACATAACCGATTACAATTAGCAAGCAACATAAATTAAACAAACATAACTTAATATCACAATAATATTCCGAAAATAACAACAATAAACCGACATAAAACAGAACAATGCATCAAGGTGTCTACGATATCACAACCATCAACGTTATCTTCTTTGGTGTTAACATCAACACAAGGACACCGACATCATTTTCTATTTTTATCCATTCACGAGTAGCTCCGTTTCTCCCTGACTCCTCGACCAACCTCTCAATTTTCCTAATCTTTTCACCTGCAACAATATCTCCTTCTAGCTAGCGGTTCAGTTCCATATGCAAATGCTCCAACGTCAGCGTATTCCACAGTAGCACCTTCATCGGAGGCTTTGTTGCTGAAAAATAAACTAGAGCATTTCTTTTCATTAGAGAAAATGTTGGAAACGATTCCTCCGATGATGATGACGACGACGAAGAACGTTGATTTAGAAATGTAGACATTCTAGACTGCATTCAAAATTATGAAGACTTGAGTGTTTTGGTATAAATTGTTGTAAAAAATATGAGTGTGCAATCTTATTTATAGAAAAATAAAATAGTACGGACATCATATGATATGCCTTAAATACCCTTGCAAAATTTATATACTTTTTTTCAACAAATACCAAAAATTAACAAAGTAGAATTTAAAAATATCAAAATTCAAAGGTGACCTACAATTATATATTTATTATGTTTTAAAATTTAAACAAACATATATTTATTATGTTTTAAAATTATATATTAATTATATATTTAATATGTTTTAAAATTATATATTAATTATATATTTATTATGTTTTAAAATTTAAACCAATATATATTTATTATGTTTTCAAATTTAAACAAATATATTGAATATCAAAAAACTAAAATTGTATTTATTCTAAACCAATATATATTTATTCTAAACTAATATATTTTAATTATGTTATAAAACTAAAATTAAAAACAAAAAAAATTAAAATCTAAAAAAAACAAAGAAAAAAAAAAGCAAAAAAAAAAGGGAGTCGCCATATGAAATGGCACATCCTCGGTAGGGTAAGTCTTTAAAATGCACAAACACGTCATATGAAATGGCGACTTAGATCATGTGACCTTGGTTCATCCATTTCATATGGCGACACAAGGTTAAATGATAGTCACTTTTATAATTTTTTTGAAAAATGTGTTTTTGTGATAATTAATTTGAATAACATGATTATTTAAAAAAAATAATTCTGATTAATTTACTTGCTAAAAAAAAGTCTCACTTTTGTCTATGTATATGAGATATACACAATATTATGTATTTTTAAAACTTAAAATTTTTATTATCATATTTTTAATGACACTTGTCTTAACAGAATATGTTACACTAAATTCTTCATTGTGTTATAAAACGTAAATCTTTGAAATGCATGATTTGTTTTTCTATTAGATACTATATTTTATGTGGTGCTTCCTTCTCTTTTGGTTAATTAGTCTTCTGACCATATTTGGAGTATCTACTACCATTGGTTAAAATTCCACCAAGAATGAGTTCAATAATCATCTTCAAGGAATATCCTGCCTTGACCTCTACTGCACACTTCAATTTCAGTACCTTGGTTTTGCTAGTTTGGTCTATATGAAGGATCATGTTTTGACCATTGCATTGCTTGTCTTCCGGGCAATATCCAACAAAAGTTCCAGGACTAGGACTAACAAAAAAAATCCAAATGTCTAAATTATTTTAATGAAACAAAAATGACCAATTGTATATTGTTTATTAACATATTGATAGTATAATATATCTTTCATTTTCCAAGCTTCCATTAGACTTTTTTCCTTAAATCCATACTCAACCTATAGTTTATTATCATCAATGAAACCAAAATATAAAATTGAGGAGAGAATTAAGGGAAGTGTCGGTGAAGGTGAAACTGCATTACATGTTTGATTTTATTCTACTTTTTCAATTTAACCAGAGGTCTTGAATTTGAATTTCACAAACTACAAACTGCAATGTAAGTGCAGCAGATCCTGGTACTCCAACCACAAGTTCACAACAATACACTTTTCCTTTTTGTCTCCTACCACATTTTTTTATCTACATACAAGTTACAACAATAGGTTAATAAACCATATCAGGTTTTGGGAGGGTCCATATGCATTGAAATAACTTTTCCATTCAGAAATTAGGTCCTGTCATATTGATATCAGCACTGAGTAGTTTTTGGTACTATCATTAATTAAATCATATATAGTCATGACTACTCCAATAGGTTGTTGTTTCTTGTCATAACTTATCATACCAAACACTCCTAACTAATTTCACACATATCCAATTATTAGTTTTGCTTCTCTAAAGATGGTTCAACCATAATTTTACTTCTACCACAAGCAATTTCTTAACACTCTTCTAGTTCTATTCTTCTCGAGATTGTTTGGCTAATTTGAAAGGTCCAAACATAATCTCAACATTCCAACCTGGTCAAGTCTTGTTTACTCACCTGCTTAATTTGACTTAAACAAACAAAGATTACCCAAATTGGTAAAAAAATTGACTCAACTTCCACTAGTCGCGTAATATGTAAGTATTTCTGCCAACACTCTCTAAATCTTGAGGTCTGAGGTATGAATTGATCCGGTGAATCTGCGGTGGGTAATATGTAAGTATCTCTAACAACACTCTCTAAGCCGAGAGATCTAAGGTCTGACATGATCCTGGTGAATCTGCGGGACCTAACTCATCTAACAAAATTTATACCAAAAAAAAAAGAAAGCAATACTCAAACTACACTTCACCAAGTTAACACATTTTCACTCCACTTTTTCATGTTCCAAGTTAAGAATTTTTCTTGTTAAAAAAATGAAATAGGAACAAGTTTGCAGAATGAGTCAGAAGAACAACCACTTCAGAAGTGCAGATCTATGTATAGAAATACAACACAAATCTTGAACCAGTAAAACTAATGAGCTTGTAATAGTAAGTGAAGAAATTAATGAATCTACAACACATGGATTTACCATAATCAGAAACCAGATTAGCAAGTAAACAACATTTTCATGTTTGATTTCAACTATGTAATCTCATTCCTACACTATATCACAAACAAAAAAAACAGATAAATTAAGACACTTTACCAAATCACACCAACCAGCTAGCATGACTTGTAAACCCTATCTACCAATACCTTCCAAAATCTCATCAAAATCAAAACCAACAACAGAACAACCAACACCAAATCAAACCCAAATCATTCACTGTTCCTTCTAACCAAAGCAAAATACCCCAAAACAGCACAAACAGCAGCAACAACATTCCCTTCTGTCAACAAAATCTTAACAACAAAACTGAAAATTTCACCGGTAATCTTCCTCCCTTCAACCACCAAAACCCTCCTAGGCTTTCCAAAAAAAGCCAACAAAACAACAACGGTTATCCACGTCACCAAAACCGCAGGAACCATAACAACCAAAGCAGCAACCATTGAAAGCAGCCCAAAAACAGTTCCTAGAAGAACAGAAGCATACAGTGCAGGCCAACCAGAGGTTGATGATTGAGCTTGTGAATTGTACCAAGAAAGCATTGTTTTAAGAAAATTCCATGAAGATGCTAAAAGGGTACCGTAAACAAGAAAAAAAAGACACGCCCATGTTCTTCTTTTGCTCATAATATTCAACAGTAATATGTACGATGAAGATGGTTGTTGTTGATGAATCGATGATGTCGGTTCTTCTTCTACTTTTGCCATTGCTGAAAACTCAAACACAAAGATAACACTTTGACTTGAAAATGAAAAGAAAAAGAAAAAGTACTGTGAGATTTGTTTATGGTAACTAATTATGAACAATTATGCTACTATGGGTTAAAAGTCACGCGCTTGTATAGCGCGTGATGTTTTTGTTTGTGAGATTGAGAAAAACTAAAGTGGTTGATTTTATGAATATTAAAAATTGTACCTTTAAATTTGGGTGAATTTATTTATGGGTAAAGAAGCTGCTACTGTTAGGTTGGGTGAAATTATTGGGACCATATCCTTAAAATTCATAAAAATATTTAGGACAAGTGTGTTGGGGAATTTATGGAACTGTATCCATAAGTCCATAATACAAGTTTGATGGAAAATTTTACAACAGGTGTCCAAATAGGGTTATTTACACATAATAAAATTTATATTTAGTTACCTTTTTGTCCCTTAGGTTATATTTGCATGTTTGAAGAGGTGATGAAGTAGAAAATAGAAATGAAAAATAAGTTAGTTTTTTATTTGAATAAGAGAGTTCAATTTTTTTTAATACAAAATGTGGAATTTAAAAATTGTATTGGACCAGGATTTTGAAGAAGTTAAATAAAATTTTTAATTTTAATTTGTAATGTTATAATACTTTTAAAATTACTTCTAATCCCAATAACTCTATTTTGTCTTCGTTTAATGACTTAGTATAATAGTGTTATCATGGACAAGTCATGTAGGGGCTAAACGTTTCTTTTTCGCATAAAAAAACTCAAACACTATTTTCAATGGATTTTAGGAAAAAAAAAGAGTTACAAGTAACATCGTTCAAGCAAACAGAAAAACCAATACTCTATCACCGTGACCAACAATTCGACCCTACAAGGACACTTTGATTGTAGCGGTAAACGAAACTCCAACCCTTATGGCCAACAATGATCCATCAATTTAAGATTTGCCGACACTGGTTCAAAATCAATACATAATAATCTTCCATCATAACTGTCACATTATGCAAATGGAAAACAGTCATAACTGGTGACTGTCTATCATCATATAACTTTATTGAGCATTTGATGATATTTTGATATAATTTTAGTCTAATATGTATTGGTTTTGAGAAGAAAAGAAAAGTGAAAAAAAGAAGAGAAAGATGAAAAGTGAAGAAAATAAGGAAGAAAATGTGCAAAAGCTATTGAAAAATCCGTAGTCAATTTCCGTGCCACAAAGGCTAAGAAATATCCCATTGCGTCGCGACATAAAGGAATCGTGTCACGATGCAAAAATTGCCAGCACATTGTGGCACGACCAGAGCACATCGCGGCATGATCCAGTTCAAATTCTAACACGTTAAAAATACAGCTTAGCAGTTTTTGACGTGGTTGAGACATTCTTGTATGGATTCTGAAGTGGTTTTATCGGTTAAAGGAAGACATTAGAGCTTCGAGGAAGGATTTTCATCATTAGAAGACTAAATTCTTATTGGAATTTCATGTATTATTTTTTTTAAACTTTATTGTATGAATTATATTCTAATGGGTATATATATAATTTTCTATTTTAGTAGGTTTTAGGAGATGAATCTTTGTTTGATTTGCTGGAACTGATGTTTTGTTTATGTATTATTTGTTTAAATTGATATTACAATGTTTATTCAATTTTTCTTGCTCTGTATGCATTGACGAGCGCATAGATTGAAACTAGGATTGTAAGGATGATTTTTAGTGCACTTGCTAAAAGTTTCATTAATTTTTTGGCACCATTGTCGGGGATTGTTGAATTATTCCAACAAGACAATTTAGATATTTTAAAAGTTTTATTTTATTTTTATTTGTAGTTCTTATTTTTCTTGTCTATTTTAGCTAGTTGTTTTTAATTTCTTTTTATTTTATTTTTAAATTATATTCTTATTTTACTTTTTACTTGGTGCAGTGATGCTAAGGTGTTTTTTGGTTGTTCATGCGATGTTCAAAATCAACGTTATTGTCGTTTGATTCGGAGATCGAAAAGGTATCTCTAGCAAACTGAAAAGCAACTAGATAATGATAAGCATCACAAAAATTAGTAGAAGAGGAACATTCTCCGAATTCTTTAGATTACGAAAGCGAGCAAGTGGAAGAATTTATGTTTAATCCACAACCGAGAAAGACCATGGGTGATTATTGCAAGAGGATTGATGTAGAGCAAATTTCTCTAAGGATACATCTGGAGAACCCAGTTGCTTTTGATATTAAGAATATTTTTATTGCAGGTTTGAGAGACAACCAGTTTGACAGAAGCGCAATTCTAGGCTTGTGGGAACATATGACACACTTCAATGAGACATGTTCTATTTGCAAGCCAAATAAGGTGACCGAAAGCCAGATCAAGCTGAGACTTTTGGGGTTTTCATTAACTGGAAGAGCAAAATATTGGTTGCAATGTCTACTGAGTGGTATAATTCACCATGGACAGAGTTACAAGATAAATTCTTAGAGTGATTTTTCACGAATGCACAATTTGTTGAAAGAAGGGATGAAATTTCAAACTTCTCACAAGGCGATTCAGAGGCACTCTATGATACATGGGAAAGATTCAAGATTTTACTCATAAGATGTCTAAATCACAATATGGATGATATAAAGGGAATGCAACATTTCACAAGAGGTATGATAGCTAAAGCAATGGTGTTTTTGGACGCCTTAGTTGGAGGTACAATCATAACTAATAATGAAGACGACGTAAAAGAGTTGTTTGAAAAAATGTGTCTGGATGAATACCGCTCTTAAAGTGAAAGAAGTGTGAAGACTAAATAAAAAAGGTGTACTATAATTAGATACTCACACATTCTTGTTAGCTCAATTGGAGGTTCTTAATAAATAGTTAGTAAGAGCCATTATTGTTCCTGTAAATGTGAGTCAAGTTCAAGCATTGCACTGTGATTTTTGTGGGTAGGATCATGCTAATGGAAACTTTGTACCAGAAGGATTCATCAAAGAATCACAATATGAATTAACAATGATGAATGTCGCTGATAAATAAAGATTATGCATAAATGATGTTATGTGATGATGAATTAATGTTGTGAGTTGTGCATGTATGTTATGTTAATGGCCTTACTTAGTGTATGGTTATATGTGTCATGCATCATAATGTACGAACTTCAGTTTGATGGTGTGCTCTGATCCAGTGGTGGGATCACTGAAGCATTGATGATTCAGTGGTGGAATTAGTAATGATTTTGATGTGTTATGCTCCAATGGTGGGACCGGGAGCGAGTAGCCGACTTATGTATGATTAGAGTGGTGAAGCGTTGCTAATTTAGTGGTGGAATCAATAATGATTTGATGTACTCTGGTTCATTGGTGGGATCGGGAGAGAGTTGGAAATATTACTAACATACCTTTGATGTTCGATGAGTCGGTACCGCATTTGCATGTAAAGTTGAGGTGTTGTCACATTGCATATACACCTGCATTGTGAATGAATTTATATTAATGATGTGATGTGTAATATTTATTAAGTGTGTTTTATTTGATGATGTATGAGTAATTGATGATGAATATATAATTGTTGATGCATGGGTGAGCGATGAATACGTGGTGCTGTTGTGAGTTGATGATGTAGATGTTTGTGATGTGCCTTTTTTTATGTATTGCACCGCTATAGTATTTGCGCGTATTCTCACCCATTTTTGTTATTGTGGTGTCTATGCTCCTCTAGAATACAGACAATTATGTATAAGTGTAACTTCTTAAGTTAGAGGATGGCGGCCTCTTTAGATATTTATCATTGAGTCTTAGAGGAGTCGCCCTGATATGTAGCACTAGAGATGGGTTATTCGCTTTTTACTTGTTTATGCCTTACCTATTTATTGTTTGATGTTTATACCTTAACTATTTATTGTTTGATATTTTTATGTTATGATGAAGAGTGTGTGACATTATGATCATTATTTTATTAATTGTCGAGTCGGGGATTAGGGTGTTACATTACATCTTCAAATAGTTCTTCTCTCCTGTCATGTGCCTAGAACAACCATTATCAAAGTACCAATATTTTTGAGAGGATGCTCTTAGAGATGTGTGGGTAATATGACTTGTAGTTGCCTCATTAAATTTCTAGACTTGTTGGACATGATCATTTCTTGATTTTTGCTTGGTTGGTTGTTGTTTCTAAGGATAGAGTATGCCCATATTAGCCATAGTAGTGGAATCTTCTAAAGGGTTTTTTTTAAGGGACTTCTATGTTGGTAATAATCTCGAGCAAGCTGTTTTGACATGTAATTTTTCATCATGAACTTAGTTTTTTGTTCAGGAGGAACAAATTTATTTTCTTCATTCATAGAGCTGTAATCAAAACCAAAACCCTTTATGTCTCTAGACACTTTTCATACATCGAGGATTTCATCTAGAGTTTAAGATCCACAATTTAACATGCTAGCTGACTTCGTCATGCCACCAAGCTTAAAGCTCAGAAGTGTGACTTCTTCCCTCTGGTCATATAATTTTGGTGAGATTAGCTTTCTCTTTAAGTAAGATATTTATTTGAGATTGTTGTTTCTCACTAGACATGTATTCTTGTTTCTATTTGACATACAACAGTCTAAGTGAGTTATGAATGCAATTACATTATTGGCCTTTTCTTCATTATTATCATATTTAGATTCTTCGTTTGAAAGTGTGACAGTGTACTCCTTCTTTTGATTTCGAAGGAAGTTGGTACAATCCACTAGAATGTGTCCAAATGCTTCACACTCATGACATTCTATTCCATTGCCTTCGTTCATTTTGTCTCTTTTGTTTGTTTTTGCACTAGGAGTTAAAGCCTTTTATGTTGTCAGGAACTTTGTCTTTGACATTTTTCATGCCATTGTTCCTAGAAGGTTTATCAAGTCTTCTCATAACTTTGCCAAACCTTTTTGTTAGTAATGCAATAGAGTTGGCCAAGTTATCATCAATATCATGTTATTCTTGCTCCTTGTCATCTTCCACATTAGCTTTGAAAGCAACACCCGTGATTTTATTTTCATATTTCTC